CTCAGTAACTAAAAAAATCCTGGAAACTTCCAGAAATTTCCTAATCGAGTAAAAATTTCCTCACTTCAAGCAGCTGATTTTCTCTTTCGAGTGATCGTCTGGGCCGCATTCAGGAATTTTTGGTTTTCCCTTGACGAATTTTTGAAAAACTTGTCTTAAAAACGGCCAGTCGACTCGCCTCAGTAACTAAAAAAATCGTGGAAGCTTCCAGAAATTCCCTAATCGAGTGAAATTTTCCTCACTTCAAGCAGCTGATTTTATGCTCCGTTTTCCCAGGTTGCTTACAATTTATTAAACGCTTTTGCTTTCTCTGGTCGTTTTTTGAGGAAACCTCAATTTTGTCGAAAAAAACCAATATAACTTTGTTTCGATTTTTACTATAAATACGACGACTCTTCTTGTAAAATTCAGCTTTTAAGTTTTTTGCATAGAAGACTCTTCGTTTGCCAATATTGTACAGTAAAACTTTAGCAAAAAAACGCGTTGTTCTGTTTGGAGAGAGTTTTCTTCTAGGTTTTCCGGATTTTTAAGCCAGGATCGATTTCCAGACTGGATTGTCTGGAATCCCACAAAGTAACAAGAAATGTTAATGTGAATTTACACACCAAACAGCCTGGAGCCGCAAACCATACACATTAAAGTGCTGTTTAATGCTCAGTCTGCTAGCATGAGCTGCAGGCCCATATTAATATAATAAAGCGCAACTTAAACGCTGTATAAAACTGTCAATAACGTAAAAATATATTCGCCTAAAACAAATAAACATAGTGCAAAACGAGGCGAACCGTAAATCGCTTTTCAATCGTAAACCGCCCGTTATGATGTGTTTATGGTTTTTCTTGATTTTATTAATTGCTTTTGGTTAACGATCGCACTGAAAATGATCTATAAACTATTTGTATTCATCCGGGCGATAATTAGGCATTTATTTCAAAGACAGTTGGTTTTTTTTGGTATTTAAACAGTAATAATCAAAATAGTTCGTTCACTTCACGCGCTGGATGATTTTTTGCCACTCTTTAAACGCCAATTCTTTTAGCTGCGACAACTTTAGCGTTGGATGGATGCTCTTCAGTTCCTTAAGTCGCTTTTCCTGGAAACTTCTGTACTCAGCTTTGCGCCGTTTTTCCGGCTGTTTATCCAGAAGGAGCTCGTTGTCCAGAAGGGCGAGGGCGGCGTCGATGGTTCTGGCGATTTCTTCGCCCAAACTGAGCCGATTGAGGTTTTCCGCCACTGATTCTGTGGCCAGTGGCTTACACTTGGGTCGGCTTTCCAGGAGTTTTTGCTCGATTTTCAGCCGAGTGAGTTTTTGCGAAGCCCGTGGCTTTGTTGCGACTTCAGTCTCCTTTTTCAACAGTTCCTTTAGCTCATTCTTCCTGTTCAGGTATTGCTGGCGCTTTTCCAGTTTCTCCTCCTTTCGCATCAGTTTCTTCTCGATCTTCTTGCACCGATCAGCCCATTGCTGGTCGCAGCTTTTCTTCTCCAGGGCGCCGCTCTTCAGCTTCCTCGCTTTGGCTGCGCAGGCTTTTGAGTTTTCGCCCACGAATTTCTTCGGCATCTTCAGATTGATGGTGGACTTGGCAGGTTTATTTAAAGTGACATTTTTGCGTGAGACCTGCTTGGGTCAGTGTCAGTTTTTCACGTGTTTTTCGCCTTAACGCCCGAGCTCCTTTTGGCCTAATGGAACTTTTATGCCCGGTTGCACCGTTTGACTAAACAGTGATTAAAAATTACGTCGCTTAACCACTGTTTTGTGTATTCTAAACAGCGATTACATTAACCGGCACTTTTTGGCTGATTAGCGCCCGATTAGGGATTAGGGATAGATTGGAAAAGACGGTTTCCCGTTTGGGCGTATGGCTTGAGAGTGAAACTGGAGACCGCAATGCACATTCTTTTGGCAACTGCAATGGCAGAAAATATGGGTGAAGAAGATCCTCTTTTGCTTGCAGATACTAATGAGGAGCTAAATTAGTTAATTGCTGTTAGGGAAGCAGGCACTGTAGCAGAACCACACAGCCAAGCTTTAGTTAACAACTTTAGAAGTCAACTTGTAAATTATTATTTTTCTAGGCTTTAAATTACGAAGAAAATGTACCTTTGGAAGTACAGTAAAGTCCGCTTATAATGAACCGGTTATAGTGAACTTTCGGTTAAAATACACTTTTTCCTTTAATTGAAACGTCGTCCATAAAGACCAACGTATTTTTTTTATTGGTTATAACGAACCCGTTTATAACGAACTTCCGGATATAACGATCACTTTTTAGGTTAGTTGTATAGTAGATACTTTCCTGACTGTGTTTCAATTCCAGATCAAAATCAATTCCTGGGCTTCAGTCATTTATTGTCTATTTATCAATTAAAATACGTTTCGGTGTTTTCCACCATCATCAGTTTCTATGTGTAG